TTTCTTCCTGTTAAAAGGGAGTTTTTCCTTCCCACTGTCGCCAAAGTGCTTGCTCATAGGGGGTCATATGATTGTTGGGTTTTTCTCTGTATCTATGAAGCGCCTTGAGGCGACTTTTGTTGTGATTTGGCGCTATATAAATAAAATTGAATTGAATTGAATTAAATCTCCTGATTAAAATATCCTGAAATAAATTAACTGTAATTGATTCACTGGGACTAGTGCTTTTATATATTGTACCATCGTTTCCGGGGACTTTTTTAAGGATGTGCAACTCTGTAACAATCCTTTGCAAAAGGATCTATGTGGACGTGCATGCAGAGAGGCAGTGAGACACTAGGTGGAGCCACAGGGTTGTGGTTCTCACTCTCCTTTTATGTTCCAGCTCCTCAGTCGCTTCTTCCCACAGGGATGCTTCCAGCAAAAATGAACCGAACATGACATCTCCGTCACACTGAATGCTCACATCAGTTAAAAACTTCTGTGATTATGTAGAGTGAAGCCCCTGGCTGTTTGACAGTTGTCCAATTAGGACTTAGCATGATGAGCGCACTGATTAAACCGGAGAGGGGAATCCTATTATGTCAACATCTTCACCCACTGATGAAAGCTTTAGAAAGGAAGAAGAAGAAAAAAACACATCAGGGAGTTTACAAAGCTAAACCCTCTTGGGGAAGTGCAACCATGAGTCATCAGCAGCACTTGCTTTGCTGTCAATCCAGTGAAACAGACAGTGCTATTATAAGACCACAATCCCTCCCAGAATTGATTTGTCATGACCACAGCATCATCCACAAGTAAGTGAAGGCAGTAAGCCTTACATTTATTCCCTCTTCAGGTTCAGTGATTGTAGTGATTGTCTGCACTTTTTTTCAGTTTATCAGAGCAAACGCACAATAAAGAATAGCGAAGATGGCATACCCTGGAATTTAACCCTAAATACACGGTGTTAGGCTGCTGGATAAAAACAGTGGGTGTTTCTGGTGAAACAGAGGAGAATCGCTCTTGATCTGCTCCACTCTGCGTCTGACTCCCACAACCCCTAAGTTCTAATTATAGTATTCATTGCAGCTATTGCATTTGGAAGATGGTATAACTTTATAAAGCGCTGCACACAGGTATTTTGCTGGTTGCGATTTTTCTTTATAATCCCAGGGCTCTATGGAGAGATAACAGAGGGAGATGTGAATTAGGTCATCTGTACCATCTGTACGTTATTGCTGGAGCTGGCAGCTCTACTCCTAATGGCATCTGCGCAGGGACGTGTGATTTACAGGTTCACAGTCAATGACAGCTCGGACACAGATGAGCACTCCGGCTGCACTGCCGGGTCCCTCCCCTGGGGTTGAAAGCTGTCGACTCCCCTTTTACAACTGAACTCCAGCGTACAGAGAGGAAGACTGGCTTAAAGATGCCGAGCGCATCTCTTCCTCCTCGCACCCACAAAGAGAGTACACCATGGTGCTACAGAGTGAGCAGCAGGAGAAAACAAATCGATAGCGCTGGCAGAGGTTGTCCTTTGCCCTTTGATGCCTCTGCGTAAACAAAGACACTTTGCAGTCCGAAGACCTGACGAAGGCCAAAGCAAAGATCTTCTTTCTGTGTGAAATGTGGCTAAAAAACCCCCCAACAAAAACCAAAAAAAAAGGACAGAAACACAAAGAGTAGAGACTGAGAGAAGAAAGCCTGAGACTGTGTGTGACTTATCATGACATCGCTAAATCTGGTAAATTTTTCTAAGAGGCTTGGAGTCGGTCAGGATTGAGGCCAGCAACCACAAGGTCAGTTAAAATTCCACTCAAGTATATTAAGACATCCATCTGGCACAGCTCAGAGGTACATGTAATTGTGGGAATGTGAATAGATGAACTAGAAATGCTGAGAGGCTATATATTAGGCAAATAAAACCCAGTTTGACAGAAAAAAGAACATTTTAAAAAGAAAAAGAAAACAAAGAGAATAAATAACACAAAGGTCCAAAAATGTCCTCATGAATCCCTTGCTAGGAGTATGTCTTACAAATTTATTGTATGTGACACAGAAGTATGTGAGGTCTCTCGGTTTCCACTGTGTACAGAGCAGTACACAAGCAACAATTTCACCACAGGAGCAGGAAGCAAAATCTGGAGACAACAGGAGCACCACTGATCAGCATTTCAGAAATTATTGTCGAACTCATGCAATATATAAGAGCCCCCCTCGTCACAGCTTTAGACATTTCAACTGCTTTTCTTGAATATAAAATGTGTAAACATATAGAAAATCTTTTGCTCTTTTTGGTTTTTCTTCATACGAGCACTTCCCAGATTTGATCGTTTCCCTTATTAGCTGTATCTTGCAGTGCAAAGCTAAAAATCTGCTTTCTTGTGATAACATCAAGATTAAAAAAAAAAAAAAATCACAGAAAGCTTTCAAAGCTGAGATGAAATTTGAAATTGAAATGTAAAAGCAGCCATTATTTCACCACCAGCTCATTCCATTGTGATGTTAACGGAGGAAAAGGGCATTTATTCTCATGTGCGAACTTGAAAGGCTACTCATAACAAATGGATGAAGCGTTACAGTGGCTATACTGGCTCTCCTTTTTCTGATAGGGACAGCTGATGGATTTTAATGGTGGGAAGGTTTCTGGTGGAGGTGGGGTGGGCGCAGCCGGACTCCCGCGGGGGAGTCCTGGCCCTGAGGATGCAGCAGCAGGTCCGATGTAAGCTTTTATTGCAGAGTTTGGCCACTTTCGCTCTGCTCGTTTCAGCTGGTCCAGAATCGCCCGCGGGGGCTCCAGAAAAGACCTTCCATTCCCGGCTGTCCCTGGAGGAAGGAGTTCTCGAGAGGGCCATGGAGGAGGAGGGGCTGAGCCGAGAAGGAGGCCCCCTGCTGTCGAGGCCCAGGGTGAGGGGCTGGCCGTGACCCTGCATCTGACTCTGATGATGGTGGTGTGGTCTGGGAGTCGTCCTCAAACAGTGAACTCCAAGTAAACTCTGGAAAGCTTTTTTAAATTCCTGGTTGGAGCATGGGTAGATGATGGGGTTGATGCAGCTGTTGAAGTAACCGAGCCAGAAGGTGATCTTGAAGACGGTGTCTGAAGGTCTGTATGCAGGGAAGATTGAACCTGCAGGGACATCAGACACACATCAGAGACATAATAAAAGATAGAGATGACTGGGAGCTCTCGGGGATGATGTGGCCCTCAGGTATATAAATCTGTGGGAGCATTCTGTCGCACAATGTTTGTTTCGCACACCTAAACAGAATCTGCCATTCAAGACATTTTACTAGTCACCTTTCTCGGAACAAATCACTAGCGCTCATCCTCCGGATATGCAATTTATAACAGTTCATCCAGTAGTTATTGAGCTGCTTCAGTCTGGATTGAAGTGGTTAACTGACCAACGCTGCCTCGAGCTGTGCTGTTACTGTGGCTAAACCAAATTTGAGCCAGTTTTCAGAGCTCCAATTACATGCTGTGCTCTATTTGTGTTTTTTTTTTTAAAGAACACATGATCCCTGAGCAAAAATCTGTTCCAGATCTTCCCTTACACACTTTTCTATATTCTTCAGACACTAAGACATAAAAAAAATACAAGGAACCCTTTCTTGAAAAATACAATTATAATTTGGTATGCAGCTCATAAATATGTGGGCGATCCTCCATTGCTTTCGCAATTTACCCCTATTTGGGGAAATGAAAAGTTCACGCCTGGTAAAAGTGATGGAGGATTTGAAATATGGAAAAATAAAGGCATTAAAAAAAATTAAAGACCTATATGCAGATGGCATGCTGCTCACATTTGATCAGTTGTGTAAAAAATATTTAATACCCCCAAAGCACTTTTTTAAATATTTACAGTTGAAAAACTATTTGTCATCAAAGCTGCAAAGGATTGCTGAACTTCCACCATTGACAAAAATAGAGGAGGTATGCATTAAGAATACAAAAGGGAAAGGTTTTCACTCTATATATTATAATTTACTGATGCTTTCCTCCAAAGACTCAGCAGCAGATAAACTGGATGCTTGGAGAAGGGAGATCCAAGAGGACATAGATGAAAATGACTGGAACCAGGCTTGCTTAAAAGCACAAAAACAAACAATAAACACACGCTTTAAACTACTGCAATATAAATGGCTCATGAGAACCTATATAACACCTGTCAAGCTTCATCATATGTCCAATGATATTCCGGCCATCTGTACTAAATGTTTAGTTGAAAAAGGAACTCTTCTTCATTGTCTATGGGAGTGTCCTAAAATCCAGGACTTTTGGAAAGATGTTATCAAATATCTGTCCGAAGTGTTTAAGGTAAAAATCCCTTTAAAAGGAAAACTCTGTGTACTTGGAATATATCCAAGGGAATTTAAGCAATCGGGGAAAAAAACTAAATTACTGGACTATGGACTACTTCAAGCCAGAAGAGCCATTGCGCTATGTTGGAAGAGTATGGATGCTCCCTCCATGGGACTCTGGAAGAAGGAAATTGCAGTCTCTCTAGGCCTGGAAAGACTAACATATATTGCCAAGGGCAAACAATGGGACTTCGTGAATATGTGGAAGCCATATATGGATATTTTAGGGAGTGGAGGTGAAGGACATTTATGAAAAAGAAGGAAAAGAAGAAGGGAAGGAAGGGAAAATCTTGTCTATCCTAACCCATTGTATTTTTGTATTACTGTGAGAACTATGCTCATTTCTACATTTGAATGTGATGTAGGCAGGTCTGATGTATGTATGGATGTGTGAATGTGAGGGTGTTCAACATTTGTTTGTATTGTACTATAAAAAATTTCAATAAAAATATATGGAAAAAAAAAAAAGAACACATGATCCCAAGCTGTTGGAAATCACACCACTTCACCCGTCTACGTGTCACACTTTATTTCTAATTGTTTTATCCAAGTTCCACTTGATAGAAGCTTCCTCTTTGCCGCCAAGGTTAAGGATTTTATTAAAATTGATCCCGGATACTGTGCTGCTTTTGATTAGAGCGAGCGGGGAATGTGAGTGGGATCTTTAATGAAGTGGCAAAGGTAATGGCTTAATGGACGCATTACATGCAGGCCTAGTCCTCATTGTATTCAGTGGCTGGCAGTGAAACATTAAAATAATGAAACGGCTGACTTCATGTGTGGCTGCACTATATCTGTCTATCTGCCATCTATTTTCAGAGGCAGGAGAGAAGCTGCCTTGTGAAATGTTTTATTGGCCAAGCTCCTGAGAGGGTTAAGCCTCGGGAGAAAAAAAAAATGTGATTGTGATATAGAGATGGATAGAAAGAAGAGGCGGAGAGAGTTGGAGAGCAAATTATTTTGTGCCTGGCTATGCAGCTAATGCATTTTATCCCCAGCTGTGCCAAAAACCCCCCAATTCTATTATTGCCCGTACCCCTTGATAGATTCATTGTTGGAATAAAAATAGAAGAGGAGTGCAACTGTTGGGTGAATGTGTTGACGCTTAAACTCAATGATGCATGATGCAGCGGTGTCTGCTGCTGAATGCACACATTTTTGTTTTTTGTTTTTCTGCTGATTGAATTCATTCAGATTGAAAATTTCCAGCCAGCTGCTTGCATGGGATGTGATATTAATCCGGTTTAGCGTCTGCATCCACTGACACTTTTAATTTGAACAGTGCGACATATGTAAGAGTGATGAATATGATCACATGATCAGTGCTCCCTGAATGTGGATATACAGCACGCTGTGTGTTCAGAGCTCTAGATGTTGTGTTTTTGTTGTTCTTAATTTCTCAAAGAGTTTTAAGACTGCATTAAAGTATATCAAGAACTATAGAGAAGACGGGACCAGCATGGAAGCTGCCATCATTGGAAAGAAAATAAGCAAATGTCCCCATATATTTACATCAAGGGCCAAAAAAATAAAAATAAAATCTTCCATAAATCTCTGAAACTGTAACATTTCCAAATTTTTAATCTAATTTAGGTGCTTATGTATTATGTTTATTGTTATTTTGTTTAACCCATTTGTTTCCTGTTTTTCAAACTGATTTTAATCATATTTAAGCTCAATTTAAATATAATCAGTGCCTGTATAACTCTTATTCGTGCTATGTTGCCTTCAGCTGCAATAAGGAAACAAAGGTTGTCTATTTGTTGCTCATTTTGACAGTACTATCTGTATTAAGACTATTACTTCCATACACTCCTGGCCACTTCATTAGATACACCTGTTCAACTGCTTGTTAATGCAAAAAAAAAAAAAAAAGTCAACCAATCACATGGCAGCAACACAATGAATTTAGATATATATGCATGGTTGCGATGACAGGCTGAAGTTGACTTTTTCAGATTTTCTCTGAAAAAGGGAAAATAGAGAAGACAAGAAGAATCCTGTGCTGTAACAATCAGACAGTAGGGTTAGAATTTGACATAAACAACATGAAAGCACTGATCAGTGCTTTCATGTATCAACGTTTCAGGCTGTTTCTGCTGGTGGTGCAATGATGTGAGGGATATTGGGGCCCCTTATTACCAAATGAGCATCGTTTAAACACCACTCTGAGTATTGTCACTGACTGAGTAATGTGGTCATATAGGGAGGGACATCATCCCTTTATGACAATAGTGTGCCCATGTTCTGATGACTACTTCCAGCAGGATAACGCACCATGTCACAAAGCGCACATCATCTCAAACTGGTTTCTTGAACATGACAATGAGTTCACTGGACTCTAACGGGCTCCACAGTCATAAGATCTCAATCCAATAGAGCACCTCTGGGATGTGGCCGAACAGGAGATTCACATCTCATCTCCAGCACCTCGTTGAATCTTTGCAACGAAGAATTAAAGCAGTTGTAAAGAAAAAAGGGGACCAAGGCAATGCTAGCAAGGTGTACTGAAGAAAGTGGCCAGTGAGTCTATATTATGGAATGCTTTCAGTCTTAAAATATGCTAGAAAATTGTTTAGTAAAATTCATTTAAAGGTAGTAAGGCTTGATTGCTTGGTCACTTGGTCAAGTACCAGTCTGAGATATTATAGTTTTATTTAAATCCTTTTCATTCATTTTCTTATCATCTTCAGTTTTAGTATCATTTTTGGAATTATTGTATTCACTACAGTGGTTATATTTACTTGTATAGTATTTCAGTTTTCTATTCTTTTTATTATTAATATTATGTAGCACTCTGTGTGCCCTTAACTTGAAAAACTGGAAAAAAAATAAATGAATGCTGCAGATGACCTTTAAATGAAATATGAATGGATTGCCATGGTATATAATTAAACAGATTTTCTATCAGTCTTTGTGCTAGCTATTTTTCTTTTGCTTTTCCCTTTTATTTATGTTGTTTTCTTAGCAGTGAGGTTTTTAAGGTTTGAGTTTAACTTGAAGCAAACCAAACTGAGCACAGAGTTCTGACGCTAGGCCTCTAGCAAGGTTGGGTGAAGTGTAGGCAGGTGACTGGCTTCGGTCTCACAAGAAATTTCAGGCGTTTTCCTCGTTGCTGTCTGGTTGCTGAGTGTGTTGCTCCTGGCAAGCATGTCTTATTTCTCCTAGCGGGTTAGGCTAGCAAGCCAGATGGGCTCTGCATACCCAATCACCTAACGCTGCCTATTACGCAACCTTGATAAGCCTGTACCCCTTCCTGCTGTTAATTGTCTGCAGAGGCTAAATTCATAAACAGCTTCTCTCACACAGGTTTGAAGATTTCTTTGTCCCCTGCAGCCGTTACCTTACGCTCACTCTTTTAGCTCGACCCCAACAGCCAATCACATTACAGCCAAAACCACTTCACGTGTGATTAAAAAGCTCCATGACATCTCCCCTGCAGGGTTATCTCCATTTGTAACTCTGGACTGGTTCCTGTGCAAATGTTATTTTTTTCCATCTCTCCCTAGAAGTCCAGTTCAGACCACCTTAACTTAACCATCCGTGATACATGCTGGAGCTGAGCAGGCTGTAGGGAAAGATTGTGCTTGTGTTGCCACATCTCCTGTGTTTTAAGTGTACTGTGTGCACACTGAGAGTAGACTTTTAACTTTCTGTGACTTTGTGAACAATGTGTTGGCTATTTTGCAGATTACATCATCTCCATTTTAAATTTGAGTACATATTTGAGTATGATGTATGGACAAAAAGGCCATACCTCTTAAACTTTGAATTCATGTGTTTTCAGTCCTGTTGCCACAGATTTATCCATGCAGTCTACCTGTAAAACTACTGAAAGAATTAATGTTTTAAAGAGCACGGTGCTGTAACAGATGGTAGTATTGTAACGAGTCAGTCTGTGAAATTTCTTTCATCCTAGATATATCACTGCCACTTTCATGTGATTTTGTGCAAAGTGGAAACATTTAGGAGGCACAGCAACTCGGTCACGAAGTGGCAGACCACGTGAAGTTACGTAGCAGGGTCACCAAGTGCGTAAAAGTATCTGACGCTCTTCTGACTTCATGACTGCAGAGCTCCAAACCTCCTCTGGCATCAACATTAGCATAAAAACTGTGCACCGTGAGCGTTGTGGCATGGTCTTCCATGGTCGAGCAGCTCCTGTAGGTGTAATGTGTAGGTGGGCCAGTACTTTTGTCCATATGCTTCAGTAATATTTTAGTGTTCAGAGTGGGCGTGTTGGTAAAAGTTCCATATTTGCAGTAAATTACAGACATTTGCTAAAATACTATCCTTGCTCTGTCACAGTTAAATTGTGCAGCTTCTGTTTTATTTACCTTCATGTTAGAAAAGCAAATCTGCGACACCACAAGTTGGTAGCTGGGTTATTAACTATCATGCTAGTGGTCATAATCTGCTTATCTGCTTTAATCTGCTAAAAAGGGAAAGTTAATTTCAGGCTGTTTGGCTGATGTTTTTTGTACATTTTGTTTCATTTAAGATGAGAGTAATGAATGATGACTGTATTCAACTAACATTTTTTTTCAGTTGTTAATTTGAGAATTTAAAGTTAAATTACATGTGCTTGTCCAAAGTAAAAGAGCCCCAACAATAAACTTCTCTTTTTATAACTAAAATAATAAAAATAAAGACCCAACACTAAGTTAATTAAGCTGAGAATATTTTGGCTGGATTAGTAGGTGTGTTTATTTCACTGCAATCAAATGGAACATGTAGAATATAATCAAAATATTTTAATTGGGGAAATATTTTAACTTCAAACTGCAGGATGCATGTTTTTCCTAAAGCCTCATTTTTATCATTCTTTCACTTTTATCAGACTTCAGTCCACTGAAGTCTTTTTCTGATTTAAGTTAAGTATAGAACATGAATGGGTTGTCTACTAACCAGAAAGTTTAATCAGCAGCTCCTCCAGGCTGCATGCTGAAGTGTCCCCGGGGGAAGTTACCGAACCCCAAATAGCCTCCAGTGCAACCATCAGTGTATGTGTGATAGATGAATAAAATAAGAACCACCTAACACATAGATATTTGACCCATTGTTCATTTAAAAATGTTTATCAGCATGTGTCTACAGGGCTGTGTGTAATTCCCCTGCTCTTTCTCCCAAAGTTCCTGTCTTTCTTCTCAATACATCCAAAAATAACTCTTAGGGGGGAAAAAAAGGTTCACCATCTCTAGTTTAAAAAGACACTCGACACCCACTGACACTCTGAGTCAGAGGTTTTTAAGAATAAAGACTCCTGGCTGGGGCTGGAGACAGGAAACATTTCAGTTCATCTTCAGTTTCTTAACATATCACGATAACACGAGGACACCCTGTGAAGCTGTTCTTTATGTCAGCGAGGGCATGCTTCACGCTACGGTGACACTGTCGCCTCTCAGCCACCTGTTTCCTTCCAAAGAGATTGTTGTTAGCTTAACTGTTGATGCCAAATTGGCCTTGGGTGTGGTAGTGAGTGAGTGATTGTCTGTCTCTCTGTGTTATCCCCATGATGGACTGGGTACCTGTTTAGCGTGTCCTCTGCCTCTCATCCATTGTCAGCTGAGATTGGCTCTAGCCCCCACCACCTGACCCTGAACTGGCTAAATGGTAAAGAAAATAAACTGATTGATGCTTTGCACGTGTTGTAGTTCCAAAGAAGGACTCGGTACATATCAAGGACAATTCACAGATAGGTACAGAGCCTTTTAACACCCATTTAAATTACTTCCATAATTAAAGTCTTGTAATTATTACATTGGATCTGCTTCCACTTCCCCCTAACCCTAGCATCCTCTTCTGTCACACCAACCCTCTGCATGCCTGGCTTCACTTCACATCTTCTCTTTGGTCTTCCTCTTTTCCTCCTGCCTGTCAGCTCCATCCTCAACATTCTTTATCCAGTGTATCCACTATCACTCCTCTGCACATGTCCAAACTATCTCAGTCTTGCCTCTCAGCCCACAGTTATTATGGATATTAATTTAAATAATATCTACTCCATAATCGAAATGATGCAATCAAGACTTATCCAGCTGTACACGTCAGAACTACACCAGTGCTTTGTGATTCATTGCTGAATCTATCATTGTCCACAGACTTATGTGGCAGCGGTATGCACTGTGACGCCAGTATTAGTAAGGGAGCATTCGTGAGCCGAGGCTTTGCCTCATTTGCCAGTCAGGAGCTACTCAGCCAAATGGTGGCAGCTATATTTACAAGCATGAGAGCATGGAATAAATACAAACCCTGCAGGATTTGTTAGGATTTTGCCATATCTCATATCTACTTGGTTCAGATTTCCTTTTCGCATGATTGACAACAGCACTTGCAGCGCACAGGTCTACAAGTCGTTTGATTATTTCCCTTTGAGCTCATCTTCATTGAACCCGGTGCACTTGAAGACTTAAAGACCATCATATGAAGTCTGGCCTCAGTCCGAAAGGCTTTATCTGTCACTAAAGATCTGCCCCCATGATGAAGGGAGTCACAAACACGAGGGAGAAAAATGGCTCGACATGCCATTCAAGGGTCTGGTTTGAAATATATCTTGGTCTCAATTTTAGTCCTTTTGTTTACAGACGGGGAGCAGTGGAGGATGACAGTGATCTGAAAGATTTATAGAGCCTATTTATAGAACGACTACCTGGCCGAGTCGAAAGCATTTACTACAGCGCTCCAGAGGCTACAAGCTCGTCTGAATGCGAGTAACCTCAATGTCATCCCACAAAGGAGGCATTCACTTAACATCATCTAACTATGAAATTAGCCAGCACTTAAAAACATGACCGTAGAATAAATTGATCAATGAGTATGTCATGGGAATAAATTCAGATGTTGAATTGCTTCCTGAAAGTGGTCTGACTCATGCGTTGGAGTAGGTAATCACATATATGGACCTATTTTTAATTTGTGAAACGTTATTGATTAAATGGTTGCAGAGGGTATCATTGACTGTCTGTGCTCCAGTGACATTTCTAAGAAATATGCATTTTTTTCCCCCATTGATACTGAGAGTTAGATGAAATGAGAGTATTTGTCCATTCAATGGGAAACCAGAGGCAGGAGTTAAGGCAGGTGACAACACCAGATCCAATGAAACCGTAATTTCCCATTTTTACACCCGGGTTCTCAAATCCATTAAACAAAAATGTGGTGTCAGGATTCAAATTTCACTCCTTGAAAAGACTTCATTTGATCCAAAATGCTGCAGAGACAGAACTGACAGGGACTAGAAAGTGAGAGCACATTTTTCCCTAACTGGCTTTTCTCCCCTGGCTTCCTGTTAAATCCAGAATCAATCCTTCTCCTCACATACAAGGTTTTTTAATAATCAGGCCCCATCTTATCTTAAAGACCTCATAGTGCCGTATCACCCCAATGGAGCTCTTCACTCTCAGACTGCGGGCTTACTTGTTGTCCTAGAGTATTTAAAAGTAGAACGGTAGGCAGCGCCTTCAGCTTTTACGCCTCTCTTCTGTGAAACCAGCTCCCAGTTTGGATTGAGACAGACACCCTCTCTACTTTTAGCATTAGACTTAAAACTTTCCTTTTTGATAGAGCTGGATCAGGTGACCCTGAATCCTGACCTTAGTTACGCTGCAATAGACCTCAGCTGCTGCTGAGTGTTTCTTCTTCACTCTCTTCTTTGCAATACCTGTGTGTTTATATAGCACTCTGCATTTAATCATTAGTTATTAATTATCTCTGTCTCTCTTCCAAAGTGTGTCTTTTGCCTGGCCTTCCTCCCATCTCCCCCCAACCATTTGCAGCAGTAGTTGTCCCTCCCTGAGCCTGGTTTTTGCTAGTTTTTCCTTCCCACTGTCGCCAAAGTGCTTGCTCATAGGAATTGTCTGATTGTTAGGGTTTTTCTGTACTACTGTAGGGTCATTACCTTGTTCTATAAAGTGCCTTGAGGTGACTGTCATTGTGATTTGGTGCTATATAAATAAAATAAAATTGCACTGAAGTGAAGTAACCTTCCTTTCCAAACTGTTGAGGTATTCCCTTTCAGTCTTGTAAGTAATATATTTTCTGCTCTGGTTAAAATTAGATTTGCCCTGAGAAATCTGGCTCTTGACATTAGGAATTACATGCAAGATGAACATGATAATACTCACCAATGGGTAGCACCAGGAAGAAGGGGAGCCAGCACAACACGAAGCAGCCAACCACAATGCCCAAGGTCTTGGCAGCCTTCTTCTCACGAGAGAATTTCAGCAGCTTCAGAGCAAAATGTGTGCGATTGCGAAGGGCCTCGTCATCTGAGACAGTTGCATTGCCTCGGTGTATCCTGAGAATCACTTGCTCTGAATCTGACTTCTCTGTCTTGTGGCCCTCTCTCAGGCCCTGGCTCTCTCTGTGAGCTACCACATAGACCCGACAGTACATTACCAGTATGATGGTCAGAGGAAGGTAGAAGGAGCCCACTGCAGAGAAGATCGCGTAGCCCGGCTCCTCTGTGATCTTACAAATGGACTCGTCCTCGGGCGGTGCCTCTTTCCAGCCAAACAAAGGTCCAATAGATATGATGACAGACAGCACCCAGAGCAGCATCAGTGCCAAGAAAGCCCTGCGTTTTGTAACGATTGATGGGTAACGCAGGGGGTAGCTTACTCCAATGTAGCGGTCCACAGATATTACACAGAGGCTCATGATAGAAGCCGTGCAGCAGAGCACATCCACAGCTGCCCAAACATTACAAAAAACCCGTCCAAATACCCATCGATCCAGGATTTCCAAAATGGCAGAGAACGGCAGTACGGTGGAGCTCAGCAGCAAATCTGCCACTGCCAGATTAACTATGAAATAATGCGTGACTGTCCGCAGGTGTCGATGGCAAACCACCGAGAGGATCACCAGAATGTTTCCCACGACTCCAAACCCAATGAAGAGACCAAGCACCAGACCCAAAACCACAGCCTTGACCACATTGAGCTCTGGGACTAAAACGTGGCTGCAGTTGGAACAGTTCTGTGTCAGGGGAGCTGGGGTCATATTGTCCAGCACAGGAATCATTAGTTCCAGTACAATGCTGGTACTCAACAACTGGCCTGTGCAGAAGTGGTAGACTGAAGCGCACACCTATTTAAGTTCACTACTAGAGAGAGTAGACATCAGGCCATTCTCATAAAAGCCATTAGAGTAATGATCACATTAAGTCTGTCTTGTCAAAACATAATTTGAATGATGATGCCTCGAGCAAATGAGCCATTACGTTGGCAATGCATCAAGGAAAATAAAAGGACAAGTTGCATGCAGAACCACTGAAAGAGAAATATAATATATGCAAACGAAAACTACTGAGCTAAAATCGAGTAATCCATCTTGAAAATGTTAATGATGTTAAAACTGACTGTTTTTATGCAGCTGGTACAAACCACTGTTAAAAATGCATTACAAATACAAGAGACAGATTGGAGGTGAGCGATTTAGGAAGTCTTTGAATGTTCTCTGAACCAAAAAAATACATGAAAAAAATCACTGTTTGGACTGAAAATTAAAGTCTGTTGAAACCAGTTTTCCTGGGAGCAGCAGGTGAGAAATCAACATCCAGGCTTGTGTGTTGAACGCAGCTTCAGCTTCAGTAACGTCCAGCGCCTTTGAAAAGAGAAACAGAAGAAGACACGTCCGTCACATACAGTGAAACATGAAAGCATTCATCCTTGTTCAGCTCATTGTTTTTTTGTATACTGCTGCTCAGCTCTATCAAGAAGGTGGGCGGGAGACAATGTCTGAGCCACAGCTGTTGTCAAATCAATGTCACCACTGTCTCGTCTTGATAATGGGATCAACCCAAAGTGAGGCTAACAAACTGAGAAACTAACAGTTCTGTGAAAACTTTTCACAGGACTATACAGGCTGGTGAAAAACACCCCATTCATTAGCTTGTGGAGCTGCTTTTAGCAGCAGTAACTAGAATAAAGTTTTTTTCTGTTCAACTTCATCCGTTTCTCACACTTTTATCAAAGACCTTTGGCCCACTCTGTTTGCGTGCATTCATTTATGTGTGCAGACAGCTCTCTTTAAGGTTCCCCCACAGCACCAGATTGGAGGAGTCTGGACTTTGACTGAATTATTGCAACAGCTTTTGCCACCATTGTGCTGTTTGGGTCACACATTTGACTCTAAAATACTTTTGCATACAGTAGTGTTCATTGCTCAATGACTACAAGGTGCCTAAGTCCTGTGTCTGCAGAACAAGCCCCAATCATCAGCCCTCCACACCGTGCTGACAGTTCTATGAGGTGTTGATAAGCTGTGTTTGGTTTTCATCAAATGTGGTCCTGTGGATTCTGGCCAAGCAGCTGCACTTTGGTCTCTACTATCCAAAGCACATTGTTCAAGTGGTTTGTTCATATGCTACTTTGCAAACCTGAGCTATTTTCTCCTGGTAACACTTCACAACAAGCCATTCTTGTTCATTCTTTGTCTAATTGTACAAAAACAAGAGTTGTAGCTCTTGTTTTTGTTTTTTGTTTTTCAATTTCTCCGAGAATCTGATCATCTGAGAACTTGTGGAGAATTTTTCTTGGATGTCCACTTCCGAGAGGATTGTGGCATTTTGTTAGTACACACCTGACTGCTCTTGGCCAGGAAACTGCCAAAAATATTTACTTTTATAGAGTTTCTCGTGCTTCCTGATCATCTAGTGCAGGGGTGTCCAATTCCAGGCCTCAAGGGCCAGTGTCCTGCATATTTTAGATGTCACCCTTCAAGACATGTTGAAGAGGTAATTTAGCCATTTAAATCAGCTGTGTTGGATCAAGGACACATCTAAAACCTGCAGGACACCAGCCCATAAGGCCTGGAATTGGACACCCCTGATGTAGTGCATTGATTACCATAACCAAGATGCTACTTACCCTCACAATTTGGATAGAAGCAGTAAGGGTGTACTTAGTTTTTCACAGGACTGCACAGATACCTGTGAAAACTTTCTTTTTCCCAGTATGCGGAATACCACTTCATCATTACAATACACAGTGAGCCAAAACCACAATAGCTGAAGTCTCAACAATGCAGCAATCAGAAGGCTCGGTGTGTATTATATGTTCTTCAAGTGACCTATAATACATCAGGATATGCTTGACTTTGCTCTTGATCCCTCCTTTAAATCAATATCATACCACGACCTTTATACAGACACAGGTCAAAACAACCCACGTTATTACAGCTCCACCATTTGTTAAGGGTTGTCACAGTCTGTGCTCCTTATGTTTGTAAAGAACACATTAGTTTGACATCTTGGGAAAATATGCCAAGCTAGATCAAAATATTGATACCACTGTCATAACATGGCAGAGTCCCAAGAAAAATAAATCTGCCTACCAGGAAGTTATCAGTCCAGCACAGCTTCATCATATAATCTTATATAGCACTTTTCTACTATAGCTGAGCACTCAAAAGAGCTTTACATAACATGCCTAATTCACCCATTTATACAAGCACCTTTTACCACACCTGGTAAATATCATATCAAACAAACATGAAGTTTCAGACTCAAACATCCTAAATGTTGAGCATTGTCTGCTAGCACTAGCTCCACATGCAAGAAAAATATAACAGATGTATTTAACAAAAGGAAGCACAATTTCCCGAATCGACCCCTCTGCTTTATGGGAGCTCATAACATTTGCAGTTATTTTTGGTGATTTTATCTCGCGGTAAGGGCATAACTTATCCCATTATTCTGAGATAAAACAGTGCTTGTTTTGTCATGATAGGAAGTTCATTTTCTTTAGAAATCACACAAAAACAAAAGTTTGTTTTCTTGTCATTTATCGGGGATTAGGAGTGCAGTTCCAGCCCGGTCAAACTACAGGGGAGCTAGGGGGAAGGTTAGTAGGACAGGGACCCCCCCGAAAAGAAAAAAGAAAGCTTTTCAAAATTTATGAGGGAAGCCGAGGTCCCAAAAATATTGACAATATGCTATTTTCCCTATGCATTTCTATTTCTGTTTCATTTCATAATCACCCGTCATGCATAAAATTAGTATATTCCTAATGTGTGATTCATGCATGAGGGTGATTCATCACTAACTTTAATAACGACACCAGCGTAGGTTCTATTCTTGTCGAGCTTGGCTTCCCTTCCCACCTTTGTAAAGCAGAAAATAAATTGAACCGTAACACTCAGGAAAGCCAAGGCGCACTTAATTTCACACAGGAAGGTAGATTGGTAAACGCTCCCCCTCTCTCTTTATCAGCAATAAAGTAAACTTATTACTGAAATGAACGGCTTCTTTCTCCTCGCCGCTCTCCACGCGGCGGCTATTTTTAGATGCTTTGGTCAGTCGTTATTATTCTTATTCACAGGATGATAAATAAAGCTAAGCAAAGTGGTTTATAAATTGTTTAAGGCTATGAAGAAAAAACAAAGTTAACTCTCCTGAAGCTAATATCTCCTCAACATGGTGGATCAACACTATTAAAAACACATCACACTGTACTTCAATCAGCGTCTAACATGGCAGTAGATTCAAATAACATTCAAATGGGTCCTTATTTAAGGAGAAGACTAGACCATCTAAAACTCCACAGTTGAGCACACTTCCTCCTCAGTAATCAGATGAGGGGATCGGTCATCTCCAAGGCTGCCAAGTTACTTTGTGATTGAGAAAACAAAGTCAGGTTTCTATGATATATATTGAGAGTATAAAAGAAGCAATCTGTTATCAGAAGAGAGCGAGTTTATATAAATAATTCATAATCTTGAGATAACGGCTTAAACAAAGTAATTCCCAGAAGAGCCATTTTTTGGCTTCTGCATATTTTTGGTCAGGAAAGGTAATTACAATCTCTTTTCCCCCCCATTGTGGCAATGTGTTTGTATAAGATAAGAAAAAAGAGGAATTTAGTTGCAAAGTTAAATTTACACGGATTGTTATTTGGAATTTATCCTCACACAGTTCAAATTTAAACTGCTCCCTCTGACTTTGATGCACTGGATTAATTAGGATTTGTGGGCTTTAGCACTGCAGTGCGAAAGCCCACTTGAATCTTGATAGATCATTCATCTTCTTTTTCTTCTCTTTGTTTCAAATTCATCTCATTTTTAAGGGGGCTAGTTCTCAAAAAACTTGTGAATATTGTAAAACATATGCATCAGAACTGGGGAAGCAGTCTCTGCTGAACACAGTCTGGGCGTTTCTCAGTCAAGGAGGCCTTTTCTTCACTGTTAGACCACAGTCTCTGTTGTTTCTGATCCTGCAGTAGTTGAGACCAAGCAGCAACATCCTGGGCTGAAGATGAAGGCAACACTGAAGTGCCAAAAAATACACTGCCTGATGTGTCCACTTGAGGCTAACTCCCTGAGAAAACTCAGTTCCTATAGACTTGCATGTAAAAATGAGCAGCTTTTTAGTAGAAATAAGCCTTTTTAGAGAAATCTTCACACAGACACACTGATCAGTAAGCATTTTGAACCAGTTTTACTTCCTGACTCCAAATCTGAAACTGTTTTTGTCTCGCGGATGTGTTTATTTATTTATTTGTCTTAGTTATGATGTTCCAAGTATTTTACAACTAGGATGACCGAACAGAAATCTGAAGCGTTTCAGGATTTAAGACCTAATTTGGATCTCAAGAAAAGGAAAATCTAAATTAAGGAAGGTGTTTTTGTCCTGAAGTCCGTGAACTGATGCTTGACGATGAGTGCAAAAGGAAACTGAAGCCAGCTCAATCAGCAAAATGGGAATCACTGGTACGGGTTATCAAGAAATTTCTTGGAAATCATGGAGCAGAGAATTATGCTGAGGTTGTGGAAACATGCTGAAAGCATATCAGCTCCTGAGTGCTAGAATATCACTAAAGATGCACTTTTTACATTCTCATGTCAACTGTTTTCCCACCAAACCTGCACAATGTCAGTGAGAAGTATGGGGAAAGATTTCACTGAGATATAGAAGTGACGGAAAACCAATATCAGGGAAAATTTCTCCAGAGCATTATGGGGGACTACTGTTGGTTCGTGCAAAGAGAGATGTGCACATTTTGACCTGCTTTAATTTCAGCTAAATTGACAGAAATACACTTTCATCCATCTCTGGTATTGTTTTCTGGTTTGGTTTCAGATTAAATACATTATTGTTGGGAAATAGCTAAAATTCCAGACGTTGCATCATTACATCAGTGACGTCACTGATGTAATGATGCAACCTTAAATCAAATTTTATGTCTGAGAACAGAGTAAAAAATAGATACAGAGCTGGTTGTAAGTTCCCAGTTCAAACTAAAAATATTTTGTGATCTGGTATCTCTATCTGTCTCATGCACAAATAATCTGTGGAAACATTTTGCTAATAACTTAGCACCTGGACCTCTTATCTACATATAGTCATTTGATAGCAGTGGATATAAAGCTAAACCTAAGGCTTCTGGTCAGGACTACACAATGCTGTACTACTGCCACTGGTCCTGAACACAGCTTATAGTGGTGAAGAATATTTTGCTTTAAGTTTCATCCGAATGTATAGAATCCATGTGGATATGATACATGTGGATGGAAACTTTTACAATCCATTCCCTAAACCCAACAGGAAGTTGGATATTTTGAATTTACTGTCAAATTGTTTATTTATTACTCAACTACTTTGGTATAGTATGAATGGGTATGGAGTATGTCTTTATCAGCAGGAAAAGTGGTAAAACTTATAGTGGTAAAAATAGAGTTAAGTCCAAAAATGTATGCCCTCCTTGAATCTGGGCCATCCAGAGACTGAGATAGGAGTCTTTGCTGGGCCGATTCTGACCCCCGAGCCTTATGTTTGACACTGCTGGAATAAAGGAAGCCAGCCACATGAGACAATAAAGTTCAATGACTCCACTACAGCATGCCCAACGTGCATGGAGGTACGAGGGCCTGATTGATGCTTGCACAACTTAATTTGGAATGTTTGAATGTCTTCTGACTTTTAAACAATGTCTTAGTGCCGCATAAACTCCTCCACTTTGACAGATGTGAAATTAATCTCGTCAGTGCAGATTATATAAATGTAGATTAGATAAGACTAGTAAAAGTAGAGTGGCCATGTTGACGAATTTTGGATTTTGTTAAGCTGCTTTATTTCAAACCAAATTAAAAGTTCATCTGAGTTGTCCTCTTTTCCACTGACATTGTCTCTATCTATCTATCTATCTATCTATCTATCTATCTATCTATCTATCTATCTATCTATCTATCTATCTATCTATCTATCTATCTATCTATCTATCT